TTCCAATTTTGATCGATATTTGGAATGCGACACTTAAGCAACAGTAACAGAAAATTTCTGAGGACTAACATTCTGACTCGTGGTGAGAAACGGCTAATGGCACAAAGTAACGCTTGTTTCAAAATATTATTAAGACGTAACGATAAAATTATTTTAAGTCATTCACATTGTTACGCTAATGACTATATTACAAAAAATACGTGAAAGATTTTACATCATGTCATTTGGCAAAAATTTCTCTTTATTTTTAGAGAGCAAAAACCATTACGTGAAACTAATAACACCCCACCAATATATTTTAAAAACTAGCAATGCTTCTTTAAAATTTTGCATTTAAACTAATTGCACAATTTAAAAACGGTGCCGCCTTTTATCAGTAACTCAAGCATTGTCACTTTAAAAATAAGAACGATTTAGCCGCTTTTTAGCATAAATATTTCGAAATATTTATGCTAAAAAAATATTTATGCTAAAAAGCGGAATAAATTATTTATTTCGAAACATTATTTGCAGCCTACGTGCAGTCACTCTACTATTAAATCTATTTAAAAGGAGGAAAATCCATTATGAAACTCTGAACGAACTGAAAATAAATGTATTCTGAATTTCAGTACACATGTATATGTTCATTTCTTGCCTTTCAGTTTCCAAAAGTTGTGGCTTTAGTTTCTTGTGTTTTTCAAATTACTTTGATTACACTTTCTTCAGTCTTATTCAATTTCTCAGTCAAACTGACCTAATTTTATAGAAAAAGGCTGTTTTTATTGGAAACATTTTGCGTACCTTACAGTTATCAAAGTTTCAAAAAGGCAGAGGCAGTTATCAAAATTTTTAAAAAAAAGTTTCCAATGGTACAGTAATTTGTTAGGTTTCAGTAACATGTGACACATTAAAAAGTAACTTGAAAATAAAGTACCAAAACGTTCCGACATTCCTCAGCTTAGCTTTCCGGAAACAGTTAGTTGAGTAACAAGTTTTATTATCCAGTTAGGAAACTAGGAAAAGCACGAAATAAATCAAATCGAGAGGTCAGTAGCAAAGGGCGGAGGAAGCTAAGGCTGACAGAGATAATCTACAGCGGAAGATTGGATTGGAATACTGATTTGCCGGAAACGGATGTGAACAGAGAAAACAGGAAAGTACTCTAATTAGAGTTTAACTTCTAAAATGCAGCAGGATCTTAAATTCAAAAGTAATTGTTTTGAAACAATTACTTTTGATTCTTATTTTAATAAATAATGTAAACAAATAATAAAAACAGTAATAAAGCAAAAGAGGAAGAAAATTCTAAAAGGAGAATAAATTGTTTTTATTTCTTAGCCTGTTCTCATATCTTCTTTTATATTCGCGACAACTTTATCTTTAAATTATTATATTTGGTTTCAAGAATTTTAGTATAGAACATACTGATATATATTTTTTTTAAGTGTTGAATAAGATTTATTAAAAATTAGATTTTCTTCAATTCACTGTAGAGTGTTGTTTCAATAACGTTTTCAAAATGGAATTTTTGGTAATGTTATCTCCGTGAATCTTCTTTTACAATTACGGACTAGTGAACAATCAAAATGTGTATTTCTACTGTAATTGAATATTCTGTTCATTTCGCCTAATATCAAGTATCGCAAATGAAATGAAAACGAAGACATTCTGGAACCCTTTTTAACAAGAGTTAAGGTTTGCTGTGCTCTTTGTTGGTTGATTTTCAATAACGGCAGATATTGCGAGGGTATCTACCGAAAGAAAGAGACCTTTATGGATGACTTTTTGAAGTAAACTGATTTGAATTTATGTTACTCCGTTGAAAAAAAAACCATGCAACTAGTCAATTTTCAGTCCATATTTGTAAATGAATTAAAAATATCGTAAATAACAATTGTAACAGAATTTTGTTGCTTTCCATTTTAGAATAATTCTTCAAATTGGATCATTCTATTTCATATTCTCTTTTCCGTGTAATAAATTGTTTAAAAATAATAAAATTGTTATTTATTATATGATAATGATACTTATGTAAATATCTAAAGAAATGAAGTGTTACTTTTCTTGCTCTGTCTCCCCTTGTTTCCCTCTTTCTTACTATCTAATGCATAAGATAGTAAGAAAGAGGGATCCATTCTACGTCATCAAAATGGTTCTTCAGTCAATATGACTGAAGAACCATTGTGATGGGGTGGAAAGACATTCAGTGAATGAATGGCCCCTTCTTCGTTACAGTATCCTCATAATGAGCTTGTAGAGACATTAGGTATTTTTTGGAAGCAGGAGAGATGAAAAATGAGCAATGCTCTCGCTGGGACTCGAACCACGGACCTCTCGAATATGCGCCGAGTGTGCTGACCACTACACCACGAAGGCATGCTAAGAAGGCGGGAGAAATACCTTGTAAGCTTATACCATACATAACGGCTCCGTATGTCCTTATTTTGTTCAGAACTCGCTGTGTCTAATTAATGAAACTTGTAGAACTTAATTTTAAATTTTTGTAGTTAATTAACAAAGATCATTAATAAATTAACCTTTCTTATAAAGTTTGACTGATAATTTTTTATAAAAAATACGGTGTAAAAAAATGCTTAGAAAAATTAAGATAAATAACTGCTTGAGTTTCCTCTATAAAAATTGCTTAGTTAATGATCAACTTATTTTCTTTCACATGTATTAATCTGATATTGTTTTAGTGAAAATTATACATTGCTTTGTTTCCTTTTATTTTTAAAATGTCTTTATTTCACATGTAGAGTGCAATAAATTTTTTGGATGTCGATTTGTTAGTTATAACGTAAGTCAGTTACATAATATGTCATTATGGGATTTCAAAAACGCGTGCGTGCGATGTTATCGTCATGCGATGATCTGTAGGGACTTTATTTTTTACCACGATATTTCCGACGAAGATCTTTTTAAACTGCGAAGTTTTTGAGCCGCTTTTTTTCGATCACGGTATTTTGTACCACGATGTTTTTAGAATTGCAGTGTTTTCTCTCTGCGATATTTTCTTCTACGATGTTTCGTACCTAGACGTTTTCGCCTTGCGTTGTTTTCTATGCGGTTTTAGTCCGCAATGTTTTCGGTTATAACCGATCTCGGCCATTGTGAAAATATTACCATCGTGAAAAACCTCATTTAGTTTACATTCTTTCGACAGAAGTTCACATGAAGCAACCATCATCATGTGGAGATCATTCCTATAGATACATAAACTAGATATCATTTTTTGTAATCATAGTTTTTATAGTGAGAAAGATTTTTTAGATTCCGGTTAGTTTGTGCGTTGATTTCTGTTCTACTTTAACTTGTTATTCCTTAATAAATTATATACTATAATTATCATATTTAATTTATTTCTGCTTGTTCATACATTATAGTGTTCATTTAAAGTAAATGAAAATGCGGACTATTTTAATTGATTCAGCATATTTGGAGCTCTGTTATAAAATATCAATTATTCGTAAAACAACAGATTCTTGTGTTTTAATGATAGTTTCACAAATGCAATTTGAATTAAGAGAAATTTTGTTTGGTATGTGAAGAAAAATTCAAAAAGAGGGAGGCTTGACACGTTCAGAGGTTATGAAATCTGTGTTTTCACAGATTACTATGTGCGCAGTGAGAAGAGAAACACTCACATGAACCCTAAAATCATTATCATTGTAATTCGTGCATGGTGCAAGCAAGGGCATGTGGGTAAATGATGAAACTAATGGAAAGATAAAGCTATTAGCTTAATGATTTAATTATGATGATATTATTTTTATCTACAAACTCAATATTTGTCTGCCATCTGGAAGAACTTTAGAAAGGAAGTTGCTCATATTTGCTTTAAATGATGAAAACCATAAATGAAATGTTGAAAACCATAAATTCTCTACTTAATCATTCCTTTCAACTGCCAAGAAACAAACCCGAGATAAACTACCAATTTTACGCTATTTCAAGCACTCAGCCAATGTTTAACCAATAGTTCATAAAGCTGCAAAGCTCATTTAGAATGTCTCCTTAGGCTTTGGCATACGGAGACATTCTAAATGAGCATTTTGAAATGTTAAAATTGTCGTTGTCTTCTTTGTAACTTAAATTGTTTCCCTACAAAAATGAAGTCTCTGTGTTAGCTTATAAGGTATTTCTCCACTTCCCTAGCGGGCCTTCGTTGTGTAGTGGTTCTGCACGCTGGACCGGTATTCCAGAGTTCCGTGGTTCGATTCCCGGCGAAGGCGGTTGCATATTTTTCATCTTTTCTGCTTCCAATTAACCTAATGACTCTACAAGCTTTTCCAGGAAGTAAGCGAGGAAATTTTGCTAATTATGCTTTTACAAAAACTTCTGAATATTCATAAAGCTCCTCAATAAATCTATTGCAGATGCGAAATCTTCATTACATGAGACAATTAAATTCGCCTAATTTCCAAGCACATACAGAGGCGCGGTTTAATTCGCCATATCTTATAGTTTTTATAGCTTCTGTCCATTAGCATTATGATCCTTTCTTTGAAGAGTCGTGTTTGACAGTCGGCATTACAAGACGTTCTTTGCAGATTTAGGCTACTAATGAATCTTTCTGGTGAAAAGCTGTGATACTGTAGTGATGAAGAAGAAATTTTAAATGATCACTATATACAAAACGGGGCGCTTTTTATACTGCATAGTATACAGATGTACCGTTTTATTCGCCGTATTTTGTAGTTTGTTTATAGCTTCTATCCATTATCATTCTGATCCTTTCTTTGAAGAATCGTCTTCTACAACTGGCCATACAAGAATCTGTGTTTAGATGTAAGCCGCTAACGAGAAAAAAAATTTCCAACTTTAATAACAGGACTGTGCACTTTCTCATACTGTATTGTCAGGAAAATATTATTTTAATACAGTTTTTCTAAAACAGCCTTCATATTAATATTATTTTACAATTTTATATTGCTGTAAACCATGTATATTTCACTTTTTTTTATTTGTTTCACTAAACAAATTTGTCTAATTCATCAGTGCTATTTTCTTTGCAGGCGTTATTGCAGACGCAGGACGTGGTGGCGCACGAGGTGTACGGGGAAGAGGCGGTGAGGGTGACACCTCCACCAGTCACCCCTTACCTAAACGGAGGACCTGAACCCGATCCACCCGGTGGAGACGATTCCGATATGGAAAACGTCACCAGGGTCAGATTGGTCCAATTTCAGAAAAACACCGATGAACCTATGGTAATTATTTTTTTATTCTTTATTCCGTGTCACACTAAAAAAGAAGTATTAGCTTAGAAATATTTCCCATTTCTAACAATCGCAATAAAGAAAACTAGAACTAAAGGCCGTAGTGTAAAAATATTTTATGGTTATGAAATATAATCCACCGTAAAATGCATACTGAGGTATTTCTGCAATTGTTCTTATTAGAGACATTTGAATTTGTTATGTTTTTGCATTAAGTTTAAAGAATTTTAAGGAGTATTAATTTTGTGAAACATTACATAGGTAATCAGTTAAGAAAAACTGAACTTACATCTTGAAAATCAAAGAACTTCTTTTCATTGAATCCCACAAAAAAAAAATAAATAAATAAATAAATAAAAATAAAAATATCTGATTTAAATGTGTAAAGAAACTGCTATTTGATGTACTAAATTATTACAAATTTTGTTCACATGCCGAATGTCGTTTTATTAAATTTGCCGATATTAGATTAATTCAAAATATATATTTATTAATCTGCAATTTAAACATCAGTGGCATTGTTCAATTTTGTTAATTTGCTGTTTTTTGTGTATCTTCATTTCAAAATTAATATACACAGAAATGAAGTGGTATCCTTCGCTTCCTTACACCACACTGCTCTAAAATGGGATCTTATTTTGAGTCTTGGGATTAATATGTGTCAGTACACTTCAGAGTTAAAAAGTTAAGTATGCTTTCATTGTCGAAAATACGTGTTTTTTAGGTTAATAAATTTAGACAAGGGTCAAGAAAGAGAAATGTTTTTCTGTCGTAACTTCAATTCTTGATAACTGAAAATGCATATTGTTACGTGCGTACGGTCTCACAATGGACTGAATGCGCACAGAACTGACGATAGTTTGATTTTTTCCCCGAAAGAAAAATTTTGCAGTTCTTTAACTTTTCACAAAAGTATTCTTGTAGCTGTTCTCAGTCTGGCACAGCCCAATTAGTAGTTATCACTTCAAGCTACTAAGAACATTAAAGGTAACGCAGTACAAAGCATATCTAAAGTGCGAAGTTCGCACTGAGGTCTCTCAATACTCCGAACTCAGTTCTGAAGTAAAACGGTATGGTAAGATCGCTTCTCGTATAGGACAAAATAGCAGTTCAGTTATATCTGCATGAAGATAATGGATGATGAAGGTTCGATGGATCGACGGCAGGAAATTGGAGCATTGTTACAGATACGTCATAACGGGAAGCTTGCAAGCATGGTCGTGATGAAGCATGCCATAACGTCCACTATATTATCACAACAAGATAATGAGAGTATCTGCTAGTACTATTCACCGACGATTGCCGCAGCAATGATCGTAGCTTCGTATCCATTTATTGCGACTTTTCTTGACCCTCTCATAAATACCAGAGACTTCAATGATGCAAAGAGAAAAGACATTGGAACACTGAGAAAGCGAAAATTATATTTTTAATGAAGACTTTTGATTCAGATTCTGGTCATGTAATGAGCAGATATTTTTCACCGCTATAACCGGAAATAGCACCCCAAAGGCTTTTTTACAAATAGTCATAGTGATCCCAGCCTAAGTGTCACTGCCTCGGTTATCTCATAACACACGCAGTCCCTTTCTATGAATCGTGGGAATTATTAATTCGATTATTATGTGAGATAACCCAACAGGAAGCAAAAATGGTAAATCGGGTGACAAATCGAAAACACAGTAATTTAATAATAAAATATAAATTTTGTCATCTGCGTGTATTCCTTCAAACCTTATTGTATTTCTTTGCATGTTTACAGAACTTCTAGGTGCTTTTGTGAATGCCAACTACTGGATTGCTGCTCTATTCCCTTCTTAGGTTTTTCTTTTTCTTTTTTTTTTTTTTTAATGTGTTGTGAAAAATTTATCTTTTACTTCACGTTAGGAAGCAGAAACTGTTCTACAAAATGTAGAAAATGGGGAATAAGCTCAAGATTAATAAAAGTTATATGCGTGGGTTATGAGTCACAGTTTTATTTTTTATGGAAATGTTTGTCTATAGTTACATTGATTCAGGGGGAGTAAAATTTCATTACTTGCTTGGGCATACGTTGTCATTAAATCGTTTCGTTAATCGCTATTAATTCCTCATTATTGTTATTAATTCTTTTCGTATGTCTATTGTTTCTTTATAGAACATAGCACTCTTTTGTTTCAAGTAAAAACTCCTTGTGAATTTTCTTTGCCAGTAAAAGACTGTAACATATATTTACTGGAAACGTATAAATACAAATTTTTCTGGGCAAACCGGATTTGCTTTTGTCTCTGCAAAGGATTAATGGGTTTATTAATAATATATTGGGTTTATTGGTTTTTCGTTTTTTAATGAATGCCAATGGAAACAGTACAAAAACATAGGAACCTTCCATTGAAACACAAAGCACCATTTTGCCATCTCTCAGGCAGCTAAAAAATTCCTTTTTAAAAAATGTCCGTAGGTTTTCTTGTAATGAAGTTATCGACATGCTGTCTGGAAATCAACTGTAGGCCATTTAGATAGTTTTAAAGCAACCTAAAGTAATGAAAATAGTAGAGGGCTATGTCTAGGGAGTATGAGGGAAATGACACAGAACATGTCAGCCGAACGCAATACGTCTTTGTCCGACATTCGTCGAAATGTGAGACTGAGCATTGCTATGATGGAAGACAACACCTTAAACCTTTAGCCAGTTGTGGACGGTTTGCTTCGATTTCTGCTTTTAAAACTGCCATTTGAGAAGAGCATTTTTACGAATTTCTGGTCGGATTTGTTGGCAACAATCTATAGTATACTATTCCTTTGTAATCTCACTGTTTGTATAAACAAAGCAGTACTTTTTTTAGTATGCATCCCCTCTCTCTCTGTGACTAAAGGGAGTCCTTTTGACTTATTCCATGATGTTTTTCTTGAATGATTATTGTATGATATCCATTACTCACATCCAGTGATCAGGCATTACAAAAAAGAAACATTTTATTTCTTTTCTACCAAAGAATCACATACCAAAACTGGAGTAGTCATATTCTGCTCTGTTAAACTATGGGGTATCCATACATGGTATCACTTAATATATTCAGTATTCTTCGAATCATCATGCATTGCATTTTTGGAATATTTATTCTGTGCAATAGTTCTTGAACTGTATAACTTGGAGTTCCTGTAACAAGTATTTTTAATAGGTCCTTTTCGTCCGGAAGGGACATTATCTTCGAGGCTGAAAGTTTCATGCTTCTCAAACCGTCTTTGAACTTTGTCATCAGAAACAACCCTTTATCCTTATGTAGCATACGTTTTACGAGCAATCTGACTTGCATTTATCTCCTTTTCAAAAAGTAAAAGAGCGTAATACGACGAAAATGAACTTTAAAATTTTCCATTCTTAGCACTGCATTGAAACAAAAATTATGCCATAATACATTCTAGAATAACACCACGTGACTGTATTTAATCATCCGCTTCGATCAAAGTCATTCTTTGTAGAAGTAACAAAATAATTAGAAGCAAACGCACTTCGGTTTGAAAATTCTCAAGATCCTAGAACCTTTTGGAGAACCCCATATAAGCTATGAGTTATATGTAAAGAGACCATTATACGCCACTGATAATGATTTATTGAAATGGTTTGAGATTTACGGCTTAACGTTTCAATCGAATACTAATCGCACTGGATTTTTCAACCATTTAATCTTCAACAATATATATTTAAAAAGTCTGACGTGTACACCACATGGCTTCCTTGTACGGAATATTAAATTATACGCCTTTTTTTTTCCTGCCTTTCATTTAAACTTATTTCCTCGAATTTCCTTAAAGATATATTTCTACCAAGGAGAACGTAATATGTTGCTTTATACTAAGGACCTATTATACTTTTATACCAAGGAGAACCCCTTTTTTTTACTACCATAATACATACTACTTAATATCGCAATATTTTTATACCAAGGAGAACATATTATATGCGTATTACTATTAAGTTTTTTATAGTAATAAAGTATTTATAAGAAACAGTTCAACCTGTCAAGGTTCTCCTGGGAAACATAATGCTCCAACATATCGATTACAGTTAGAAAAAGATTTGGATGAAGAGTTTAATTTCATCAAAATTTAAGTTCTTGTCTTCTGCAATCTTACAAACAATGGATGAAAATGTCATTGCCAGTTTCAAAAAGTTTTATACCAAAACTCGTTTTCAAAGACGTTCTGCAGTTATATCTAATAAATTCAAGAAAAACCCTTATTCAGTCATTGACTGTCTAGGAAATCTAGAAGAACCATTTAACCATTCTTCAAAGAACTTGGGAGAAACTAAGGCCTGTGTGTGTCTAAAGAGTTGCTTTGAAAGGACTTACAAGCGAGACTGACATTTTAGATATTGTTTTTTCTTGGATACGACCATGCATTTGAAAGCCAATAAAACTAATATAGAGAGGTTGGTAGAGAAATGTAACATCCAACTAAACACTGAAGAGATATAAGACTTAAGAAGACAGCAGGGGAAAGGAAAAGGATGATGATAAAATGATGTCTTCAGAAAATGAAGAAGGCAGCAGTGAAAGAAGACCGCTTAAAACAAGTGACGTAAGAAATTCTTTCAGCACTATAGCGAGTTGAAGAAAACCTGGCTAACATCTGGCATTAGATTCAAGCCATTGTTTCGAGCACCAATGACAGCGTCGTGTTAAACGAACGACAGATTTATTACCGTTGGATAGGCCTTTTTTTCAAAACCTTTCTCCTTTAAACAGATTTAAAGACGCAGTTGATGAAAACAAAACCAAAATATAAATCTGTCAACAACAAAAAATCGTCTTCTTAAAAGATTTAATGATTTTTTTTACAAAGCATGGAAAACCAAAGACGATATTAATAAAACTAGTAATTTCTACATAAATGCATACTGTTTTTATTTTTCCAAAATTCTAAATTTGGGAATGGGTTAATTTATTTCCTGTAAAAGAAAATAAAAAGGTGGATTTTCAGATGCAAACATTTTGATATACGAATCG